TAAAAAGAATAATTTTTAAAAAATTTTTGAAGCAATTATATTTGTAATTCTTTAAATTGTTTTTCATTCATTAGGTTTAACAATTTTTTTTTTTTTTTTTTTTTTTTTGTTTTTTTTATAAGCAACAAAAATATGTCTAAAATTACAAATTTTACTTTATCAATGAAAAAAACTAAAAAAATAAAATAAAAGAGAAAATGAAAACTCCTCTAAATGATTTAATAAGGGAATGTAAAGAATTAGATGATTATTCTTCTAATTTAAAAAAAAAAAACTGCAAAATTATTTCTTATTTAAAAAATAAATCTAAAATTAATTCTCTTTTATTAAATACAAAAGAAATTAAACAGAACCAATTTTTAAATGGTGAAAGTAGTAAATTATATTTTAAAGATGAAAAAGTAAATAATTTACAAAACAAAGTATCTAATTATTTCGATTTATTAAATAATGATAGTATGAATGTGAAAAATGAGTTAAGATATAAAAGTAGTAATCAACTTAACGAATTTAACATTATTCCCAATAATCCACCTGGAAAGAAAAAGCGAAAAGAAAAAGCTGCTTTTCTTAATAAAATTAAAACATTTAGTAATGTAGAAGAAAACAAATATAATAAAAATATCTTCCTAAAAGAATATAAAAATAGTACAATAAGAAAAAAAGAACATTCTAATGAATACAATGTTCCAAAAATAGAAAATAATTATGACATTAAAAATAATATATATATAAAATGTATGAATGTAGATAGAGGAAACTCAGAAAAATATAGAATTAATTATTTTTCTCCTAAAGAAGAATTAACTATTAACCAAAATGAATATAATTTCATTAATAATTACAATAAAATATCAAGAAAAAAATGTAATATTAAGAATAATAATTCTAATTATGATAATTTATTACAAATATATGAACATAAATATCTTAAGATCATCTCTAATGCAAATAGAAAATCGTCTTCAAAACATATTTATAAGAAAGATTATTCTGTAAATCTATTAAATGATAAATTAAATAATAAGTTAATAACTGATAATAATAATAATTATCAAGATAAAAAGAAAAAAATAAATTATTTAGGAAATTCAAAAATACCAAACAGTAATACATATGAAGAAATAAATAATCAAAACAATTTAAAACACACAAAAAATAATAATTTAAATAATTATCTCATAAAAAGAGAAACTGATAAGATTAGTGATGATAATAATAATAATATTAATGAAAATAATAATAATGTTAATAGTATTAATATTAATGAAAATAATGATAATGTTAATAGTAATAATATTAATGAAAATAACAATAATGTTAATAGTAATAATATTAATGAAAATAATGATAATGATATTAGTAATAATGAAAAAAGTATTGATGATAATAACATTAACAACTATAAACAAAGATTAAAGATTAATAACAATTTTGATTCTATATTCAAAAATGAATTTAAGAATAACAATTATTCAATGGAAATAAATTTTTCTAAAGATAAAAAAATGAATAATGATATAAGAAAGGTTATAAAAAGTATAAACACTTTATATAGTTTTATAAAAGATAATGTTGCTAGTAATAATAAAATAAGAGAAGAAATAGATGGAAATTATTTTAACAATGATTATAATATGAATTTCAATGAATATTCATCTATAGATAAAGAACAAAATCTTCATAATTATGCAAGGAAAAAATATATAGAAGAATTTAAAATTCTTAGAAAAAAACAGAAAAAGAAAATTAAAATAATACAATGTGAACATATAAGAAAAAAGCAAAATAAAATAACAAAAAAAAAAATAGGAAAATTAAATAAAAAAATACACATAAAAATTTCACAATCGACATTCAATTTAGAAAAAGAGATTCGATTAGAAGAAAAAAAGAAATTTGAAAATAAAATAAAAAAAGAAGAAATAGAATATCTACAAGAAATGAAAAATAACGAAAAAAGAAAAATAATGAAAATATTAGATAATGGTATTAATAAATCAAATGCAGAATTACTTGAAATAGAAACAAAAGATTTGATAAAAAAAGTTGATGAAACAAAATGCAAAGATATTAAAAGTTTTATATTTTCAGAATTAAAAAATGAGCTATCTTCCAATTTACTCATAACAAATGACAATAAATCATATATTTGTAACAATAAATATATATACAAAGATAATAATTTGAAATTAGATAAAAATATAAAATCACCTAAAGAAATAAATAAAAACAGAACGAAACATCCAACTTTTTTTGAGTCTACTAAGTACCATAGTAATAAGGAATCAATTAATTATTTAAAAAAAATAAAAAATATTAATGTCAGAAATTTTCTAATTTATAAGAAAAAGAAAATATTTACTATAAATAAAAATAATTCTAAGAATATTAACTTAAGAAATATAACAACAAATAATATTAAACTAAAAAAAGACAATAACGAAATATTATTAAAAAATAATATAAAAAGAAAATTGAAATCAGCAGTTGAAGATAATGCTAATTTAACACTATCAGAAAATGAGAATGAAGATATTACAAAAAATTCGAAGGGTGATTTCTCTGAATGTAGTGTCAATATTGAAAGATTTAATAATATTAGCAAAAATATATTTAAAGAAGAATGTCCTGAAATCAAAAATTACAACAATAATTATAATTTAAAAGAATATATTACAATAAGAATCAATAATAAACAAAATTATGAAGAAAAAAAAAATATATTTGATAGTAATAAATTTAATTCTTTAAATAAAAGTGGATTTATAACAAAAGAATCAGAAAATATAAATATATTTTGTAAAAGTAAGAACAAAGAAAAAAAAAATAATTTGGGAAATCTTCAAAATTATAGAAAAGAATTAAAAAGAAAAAATAATATTTTTAATAAAAGTGTTAATAAAACTTTAGATAAAAAACTATATGAGAATAACAATTATTCTTTTTTCCCAATATTACTTAGTCATAATAACATCATATATATAGAAGAACAACACAATAGAACATATATATATTTAGTAAATAATTTAAATAATGTTATTCATAATATCTTTAAATATAAAAATAAAATATTATTTTTCCATGTTTTTTTTTATATTTTTAATTTATTTTTATTTTATAAATTGTTAAATACTGATCTGTTAAATAAACAAGGGAATTTTGCTACAAAAGAGACCATTTGCATTTTATATTTTATGATTATAGAATTTTATTTATTATTTTTAAATAATGCAATTTTTTTTTTTTTAAAAAGTCAGATGCGAAAAGCTATTGCTTTATTAGATAAGGTAAATTTAATATATTCATTAAGTAAACTTTTTCCAAAATATTATTCATACTTTAAAAGGCACTTTTCTATTTTAGAAGATATTGATAAAGAATTACATAAAAAAAACAAAAAAATAATAAATTCAAATAATTTTGAGGATTTATTAAATAGTAATTGTATTATTAAAAGTGAGAATAACCTAAATGATTTAGAAAAATTAAATAACAAAAAAGAAAATAATTCTGACAAGATAAACCAATTAGATAAATTAAATAATTTGGATTTTATACCTAATAATGAAGAAAAGAAGAAAAATAAAAAAAAAAGCCTTAAAGGATTGATAAGAAAAACAGATAAAAATTTAGATTTTAATACATCTAAAAATTGCAAAAATATATATATTTACCCATCTAACAATGAAAATAGCAAATATTTTAATGATAAAGTAAAATATAAAGAAAATAAAATGGTTCAAATAAATAAAAAAATAAAATCAAATGATAAAATAAATTTTAATTATTCTAAATCAAGATACCAAATTAAAAAATATAATGATAAAGAAATAATTGATTTTATGTTTTTCATATTAAGTAACCAAAAAAATCTAAATTTAGACAAATTATTTTTTTTAAAATTAAGAAAATATACCAATTATTTAATAATTTTTTTTTTTGCATTATTAATTTATATTACAGTATATTTTGAAATAAAGGATCCTTTCTATTTTTATTTGCAAAAAAATTGCATTTTTTTTACTTTAGTTTCTTTTATTATACTCATTCAAATACTTTTTTGTATAATAATAGAAATTAAAAAAATATTTGTAGAAGAAATGAGAATATTTTTAAATAAAAGGATTATTAATCTAGAATATCCATTATATATATATATAAATCAAAAATTAAAATAAACTTGAATACAATAGATTAGAAACATTCAAAAAAAAAAAAAAATAAAAATAATAAAAATTGAAATAATAATATTAATATAACAATGGAAATCATAGAAAAAGGTTAATATACATTGAAATAATAAAAATTTTAGATAAAAAGTAAAATAAAAATAATTATAATATATATATTATTATATGCTTCATAAATATTTTTTTTTTTAATAAAATAAAAAAAACATATTAATATATTCTTTTAGAAATTCATAAGATTTTATTTTGGTAATATATTTACATTATTTTGCATTCATATATATATATATTAAATATAAAAATAAAATAAAGATATGTTTTGTTATATAAAAAAATATTATAAATAATTGTTATAATAATTTTAAAACTTGTTAAAACATTTTTATTATACAGTGTGTATCTTAAATATTTTGGAGAATCTTCGTTTATGTTGTAAAATTTCTTTATCTCATTTATATAATTTTAAAAAAGTTACACGCTTATTTACACTTTTTCTAACCATTTCTCTTTTTTGAATATAAGTATGTTTTTATATAATTCATGTATTTTTAATAAAATATTTTAAAATTTTATTAATTTGTTAAAAATTAATATAAATAGAAAAGTTTTTTTTGTTTTTCAAAATTTATTTTTTATGTAAAAATATTATTTTTTATTTTAAAAAATATATTTTTTGGTAATTTTTAAATAAACATTAATAAATTTATAATATTTTATTTATTTTTTTTTTTTTCACGTATATATATACTTCAAAAAACTTTGCAAAAACAAAAAAAAAAAAAAAAAACAGTGAAACATGTTACAAGTATTTTTAATCCCTATTATGAAATATTTATTTATTTATTTTTTTGTTTTACTTATACTAATGTACTTTAATACATAGATTTCTTTACATTTCTTTTGAGTAAATATGCATAATCACTTTTTTAATTTCTTTAGTAAAAGCTTAAGTTCTTTTAAAATGTTTGTTGAAAAAAAAGAAAAATATAGATTATATAATTTCCTTAATAATAAAATCAGTACGAAAATAATAACAGGGGATAAGGAGAAAGCAGAATTAGGAATACATAAAATAAATAAATTTGATAATATCTTAAATAATTTAAAAAAAGATAATCAAATAAATCAAAAAACTATAAATATATGTAATATCTTTAATAATTATATTAATATTTCAGATATTAATATATATAAAGAAGGTAATCTAAAAAAAATCCTTTATTTTAAGTGGAAAGCTAGGAAATCTTATAAAAAAAGAGTTCTTAATTTACCTTCTACTAAATCAAGGAGAAGATATGCACAAAAAAATAGATAAAAATGAAAAAGAAATATTATTAGAGTAAATAAGTTTAATTATTTTGATATAAATATTAAGAAGGAATAATCTTAAATATTATAAAATTACTATAAAATTTTAAATAACATTTGCAATGTTTTCTTTTATATAAACAATTTTGTTCAAATACTGAGTTATTAAAAATTATATTTATACTATTACAAAATGAATATATATTGAGAATATATTAGGATACAAGATATATAAAATAATTTAAATCAAAAAAAGAAAATTCTTTTAAACAACAGTTATTGTTTTATTAATACATTATTACTATAAAAAAAAAAAAAAAAAAAGTTCATATATATATATGTATGTATACATTAAATGATTTTTTTAGAGGTATGTTTTTTAAAACATTCATTATTTTTTTTTTTTAGACATACAAGAATTGTTATTTAAAAAAAAAAAATATATTTATAAATATATTATTAGTAAACAAGTGAATTTCTTAAGAATTAAAAAAAAAAAAAAATAAATAAATATAAAAAATAAAGAATAAAATAAAATACAAAAGGTAATAATATTAATTTTATAAATATTTCGATTAAGAATGAAAATTTCATTATTTTTTTTATTTTTTTTTTTTTTTTTCTGTATCATATGTCTGAAAGGAATTTTTTATGATGTTATATTAAGTAAACAAAAATAATATAATGCATTAAACACTATATATAATATTTATATATGCATATATAATTTTTTAATAATAAATAATTACATTATTTTTTTTTTTTTTTTTTATAATTTCTATATTTGTTAGTTGCTTATGTTTTAATTTGTAACAATACTTTGATAACCTTTTTTTTCTAAAATATTATATATAAATTGTATTTGCAGCTCTATCTTTATTAATTTAGTAATAATTTTTCAAAATTTATGTTTTTACAATTTTTTAAACAATTTTTAACTTTTTTTTTTTTTTTTAATATATATATATGTTCTTATTTTCTCATTTGATAAATAGAAAAATACTTCATTAAAAATTAAGAGTACTCATTTTAGACTTCATAGGAATATAATATATGAGGTCTAATAAATTAAACCCTTTTAAAATTCTTTTAATAACTAGATCATATTCATTTTTTGATGATTCATATATATTAGCATGTTTTCCATTTTTAAATATATAAATATTTTTTAGTGGTAATAATCTATTTTCTTTTATTTCTTGAGTTAATGTATTTAATAATGAAATATTGTCATTTAAAGAATGTAAAATATATATATTAGATGGATTTATATTATTTTCATTGATTAATTTATTAAAATCAAAATCATATAGTTGTCCTTTTAATTGATTATTTAATAACCACATAAAAAAAGAAATAAAATATTTAAACATTGCTTTCTTATCATATATATTAACATTATAATTATTATTATTCTTATCTTGATTTATTTTTTTATTTATGTCGTTAAGGTTAAAATGAATATCAATTGTTTTATGTAAATTTAATATAGGTGAATCAAATATATACTTATCTATATAAATTACATTGTTTTCATCTTTTTTTTCATTATTATATGATATAATATTGTTTATAAATTTCTGCTTTGATTTATTAATAATTTTATTTTTATAATGTTTTGACAACAATAATACAAGGAGATTTGTTGATGATTGTGTGTAAATATTAACATCATTTAGTCCCATATTTTCCTTAAAGTAATTTAAAATGTTATATATATCTTCTACACCTTTATCATTGAAATTTCTTACATCAGGTATAAAAATATTAGTATCATGATTAATATTTAATTTTTTTAAAATATTTAAGAAAAACAAACATGCTTGTCTATTGCTATTGTATCCATGTAATAGTAAAAATAATTTATTACTTTTTTTATTTGATTTTATTAGCCAACCTTTAATATTATTAAAACTAGGTATTTCTATTTCTTCATACTTCATATTATACATACCAGGTGTAGCATTTTCACTTAAATTGTAATTATTTAATACATATGGATCATTCAGTTGTGAAACTAGACTATCACAATTAAAATTTATTAAATATAACAGAAAGAAAATAAAATATTTTTTTAAAAAGACATTTTTTATATATAAAAATAATTTATTTATAATATCAAAAAATGTTTTATGTAATATATCCTTACTAGTTTTCAAACATTTAAACACCTCTTCTTTCATTATCTGTGTATTTGAATCATACAAAGCATCTTGTATATACTGATAGCACTTATTATTTTTCCCATTTTTTGTAACATACGAAAAAAAATAATTGTTTAATTTATTTCCTTTTCTGTATAGTAAAGAGAATTTATTTTTAAATACCTTATTTATATCAAATATTGCTGAATCATTTGTATAAATTTTAATACCTAAATTTTCTTTAAAAAAAAATATTACTATATAAATTAAAAGGGATATTTTCATTTTTAACAAATAGTTATGAACAAATTAGAAAAAAAAAAAAAAAAAAAAAAAAAAAAATAGCTATATGAAATACATATACAAAAAAAGAATAAAATATAAATAAATAGATAAAAATGTAAAATTATATTATTCATAAGGAATTATTGAAAACAAAGGAAAAAAATTCATTTATATGAAGCATCTTATTTTAATGTAGCAAAAGAAAAAGGTAATAAAAGGGAAAATATAATAGTTAAATTTTGTGATTATCACAAATGAAATTTAAATTTAAAAAAAAAAAAAAAAAGAAACTATAAAAAAATGTTATATATTTTAATTTATATAAATTTCGATATTTATATAATCATAATTTATTCTGAACACATTAGCTTAAATGGAAAAGTTTTAAACTTTTGTTCAAATATACTAGAAAAAAAAGAAAAAATTATTAAAAAATCTAATTTCATAAAAAAAAAAAAAAAAAAATTAAACTATATTAAGAAGAAGAATTCAATGGAAATATATTTATTTCATTATATATTTTTTAATAAGGGAAAAAAAAAAAATAGAAATATACATATATATTTTTTTTAGGTAACTCTTTAAGTATCTTAAAAATATGTGCATACATAAATGAATGCTTAAAAATTTACTAAATTTCAATAAAAAAATGATATATCGATAAAGTACTCTTAACACATTTCTTAAATGTATTTCCTTTTTTTTCTTTTTATTATTTTTTTTTTTCTCTTAACATTAAAGAATATTTCATGTAAATTTAAGTTTGAGAAAAAAAAAAAAAAAGGAAATAAAAAATTAAAAGAAGACAACATATATAAAATGATATTTTTAGTTACAATTATGTTGAAATGAATTTTTTTTTTCTTTAATTTACGTGTTAACAAAACTTACAATTATTATTTTTTTCATCATTGAACAAATTACCTTGAAGTATAACATACTATTTTTGTTAAATGAAAATAAATCTAAATTTTTTTTTAATAAATTTAAATATTTTAACTTATAAATCCATTTTTAAATAAATAATTTTCTTTGTCAATTTATTTTTTTTTTTTTTTATTTATAATTCACCTTCCTTTAATTCTATTGTATTAATTTATACTAAAAATTTTATGAAAAAAAAAAATTGTTTTAAATAGCAGTATAAATATTTTATTATTATATATATTGGTCTTTTTTCTCTTTTTTTTTTTTTTTTTTTGTTGTTTCTTCTTTAAAATAATATATAATATTTAAAGTTTATTTCATATATTCGATATTTCAATTAGACAAACAATTAAAGAAAGAGTTATGAAAATTCGTATCAATTATTACATATAATAGTAACATTTCCTATTTCTTTTATATTCTCATTTTCACAATTTCTTTTAAAAACATAATGTTGTTTTATATTATTGAAAAATCTTCATATTATTCATAAAGGTACCAAAGAAAAAAAATATTAAATTTAGGTTGTTTCTACTTTATGAAAAAAAATAGTTCAATGAATTAAATAATAAATATGAAGTATAGCCATCCTTATTTTTTTAACTAATTTTATTCAAGTTTTATCTTGAACAGTTTTTTTTCTTTTTTCTCATTTTTTTTTTTTTTTTTTTTTTTTTTTTAATATTATCATTAACAATAGTTTATAATTTTTTTTATAAATTTTTTTATTGTTATGAGAATTTTTCATTATTATTAATAATTTTATTACTTAAGATTGACATTAAAATTTTATAACTATAAAATCAAATGGGGAATAATGTATTTAAATTATAATAAATTTTCTTTTTATAAGAATTTTAAAATAGTTACTAAGTATGATGTTTTTAAAAGAAAAATTAGTGATATATGTGAAAGTAAAATAATTACACTTACAAAAAGTAAAGAATATGATAAATTAAAAATTTATAAAAACAATATATATAATAACATATATGAGAATCAAATACTTCAAGGAGTAAAAGTTAATATTTTATAATAAAAATATATATAAATGTAAATAATAATGCAAATATAATCATCTATAATATATTCATATACTCTTATTATAAATTAAATGAATTATTTCAATAATGTGCACATATATAAGGATACATAAATATGTTAAAAAATGCAACAAATTTATTATTAAAATAAAAAATAAGATAAATGATACTATTTTTTCATAAATGTGTACATATTGTTGTTAAAACAGTTATGCCTTTTCTTGTATGATATTTAAAATAATTCTATATATATATATATAAATTTAACTTTTTTTTTTTATTTTTTTTTCATAAATGTAGGTCCATAAAATTGATTCGGAAGGTTATGGAGAAATAGCTATTTATACAACAAGACAAAATTTTTTATTTTTTCTAAAATTTTTTTTATTAATTCCTGATGAATTGGTGAATTTAAGAGTCCTAGATATAAATAAAAAAAGGAAAAAAATAAATTTTCAATTACTCTGTAAAACTAAAAAAAGTAAACATGAAACAATACCTATATGTAAATATTTTTCTAAATGCGGTGGATGCATTTATCAACACATTAATTACAACTATGAATTAAAATTAAAGAAAAATTTATTGATTAGTTTATGTGAAAAATACAACATAAATGTATTAGTTAGCAGTAATAATTATTTACATAATTCTCATGAATTTTCTAAAATAAGTGAAAAAAATGAAGATAACATGATAGAAATATCTCAAATAAAAAAAGAGTATGCAAAAAATGATTTTGAAGATGAAAACCTTTTCATAAATAATAATTCATTTGATGAGGAGAATAAAACAAAAAACATGAACGATATAAGTCACAATTTTAACAGTAATATTGTTAAGGGAATTAACAATTATAATAGCCAAAATAATAATGACAATTATAAAGACTACGATTATAAAAATGAAGATACAACTCATAAAAATTTAATGAATAATTATGAAAGAGAAATGAAATATTCGAGATTATATGATTTTATATCTTCACATGATTATCATTATAGAAATAAATCTTCAATTAGTTTATCTGTTACAGATCATTTATCTATAGGTTATTATCGTCATCATAGTTATGAAATTTGCGATATAGATGAATGTTATATTCATGATAAAAACATACAAGATATATATGTAGAAATTAAAAAAGAAATAATAGAAAACTTTAAAAAAAATAATATATATATTTTTAATAAAATAAACAATAGCGGATATCTAAAAAGTGTGGACATAAAATTCAATGTGTATAATGAAGAAAAACAATTTTTAATAAATTTCATTGGATTCTCATTGAGTGATAATGCGAAAAAGCATTTAAAAAATATTGCTAATAATCTATCTTTAAAGAATAAATCAATTAAAGGAATTTTATATAATGTAGAAACTAATAAGTTGAAACAAATAAAAAATGAAACTATTTTATATGGAAAAAATTATATTTATCATAAATATGAAAAATATACTTATAAATTAGGAGCTTCCACTTTTTTTCAACCTAATCAATATCTTAATGAATGTATTATTCAAATAATTTTAAAATTAATTAAAATATATAATATCAATTCAAAGAATTCATGTTTATTTGATCTCTTCTGTGGAATAGGTTTTTATTCTTTACCACTTTCTGAATATTTTACTGAAATTATTAGTATAGATTATTCAATTGATAATATAAAAAGTTTAGAAGAAAATATTAAGATAAATAAAATAAAGAATATAAAATGCTTCAATTTGAATTTATTTAATCCATACGATTTAAAACAAATTAATTTACATATAAGAAGATACGTCATAAATATAATAAAAAATAATGATTATTCCTTTTATGATAATTTAAGGATGAAAATTAATTCCACTCTCATATCAACTGATAATGAAAATATAGTTATCGAAAATGTTCAGGTTTTTAAAAAAAAAAAAAAAAAAAAAAAAAAAAAAAAAAAACACATGTATATATATATATATATGTGAATATTTTCAATTTTCTCAAAAAGTGTTTATATAAATATATTTATTTTATTTATAGAAACTTCATTCTCCTTATAGTAATTTACCAAAATTTGTTTATGAAAATTTAAATGATGAATATTCTCAAAGTTCGAATAAAAAGACTTCAACCATTTTTAGTGAAAATGATTATAAAAATTTTGATAATAATAAGTGTGAAAATTTGGATTCAAATAATTCTAATGTATTAAATTCATGTAATAGGAATAGCATTCATGATACAGAATATGGTAAGATAAAGTAAATATATAAAATAACATATCTATTTTTATTTTATTTTTTCCTATTTTTTTGTTTATTTTTTTAAGAATTTGTTATACCAATCCCTGATTTGATAATAATTAACCCACCTAGAAAAGGATGTGAAAAGGTTAAAAATGAAAAATAATAATAAAAATTAAGTTAAAAAAAAAAAAAAAAAATGAAATTATATTAAAATAGTGTTAATACATAAATATTAATTTTATAATTAATTCAGTTATTCAGAAGGTGGCTAAGAGGTTTATGTTGTAGATTTATTATATACATATCATGTAATGCAAACAGCCAATTTAGAGATATTAGTCATTTAATTAATCTAGGGTAAATAATTTAAAACATTTTAAAAAATTCATATAAAATTTAGTACTTAATTTTTTTCTACTTTTTAGCTATTCTATAAAAGAAATTATTCCATTAGACACTTTTCCAAGAACACAACATTTTGAATCAATAACTTTTTTAGAATTCGACTTTAATAAGGTTAAAAAAATGTTTTAAGAATTTTTTAATATATAAATATATAAACATATATACATACATAATTATATATATGTATGTTACTATATAAGATTTTCTTTTTTTCTTTTTTAGAAAATAGATAATGAAAAAAAAGCTATAATGGAATACGAATTAAGTGAAATCAAAGAAAACAAAAAAAAATACAAGAAAAATTAAAATTTTCAAATTTTCAAAAATTATATATATATATATATATATATATTTACACGTTTATTGAAGTTTTATTGAGACAAAAGTTTTTTTATTTTTTTAATTGGGATAAAGGATAAATGTATTTTTATACCACTTTTTAACAAAAAAAAAAAATATATATAATATTAATAAAAAAAAAAGAAAAAAAGGAAAGAAAAAAATATATGAAGCACTTTTTTATTAAAATAACACCACATATAAATGAAAAGAGTTTTATATGAAATAAGATTTTTAATATGGATTTCAAAAAAAAAAAAAAAAAAATATCCTGTATTTTTTTATATGGTTTTTATGTAATACCACTTTAATTTTCATCTAATTATCTTGATAATTCTTTTTACGATTTCTTTTGAAATTTTTGTATCATTTTTTTGCAATTATTTTTATATAAGAATAATTTTACAGCTTCACATATATATATGCATTTCATATTAACAATATATTATCAATATTTCTCAAAGATCTAAAATAGGTTTCAAATTTTTTCATATTCTATTTTTCCTTCTAATTTTTTTCCTTCGTTAATTTTTCTGGCAGCTTTATAAAAATCTTCTTCAATGACATAATCCCTCATAGCTCTAATTGCAAACATTCCAGCTTCAGTGCAAACATTTCTTAGATCAGCTCCGTTGAATCCATCACACAATCTACAAATAGATTCATAGTCAATATCACCAAGTTTGGTCATTTTACTTGCATGAATTTTTAAAATTTCAATTCTGGCTGTTTCATTGGGTAATGGAATTTCAATTTTTCTATCTAATCTACCAGGTCTAATTAAAGCTGGATCTAGAACATCTGGTCTATTAGTAGCCATAATAATTTTAACATTACCTAATTCTTCAAAACCATCTAAATGATTTAATAATTCCATGAGTGTTCTTTGAATTTCTCTATCAGCTGAAGTACCTTGAGAAAATCTTCTACCACCAATAGCATCAATTTCATCCATAAAAATAATACAAGGTTGATGCTCTTTGGCATAATTAAACATTTCTCTGATAATTCTAGCACTTTCTCCTATATATTTATCAACAATAGCTGATACAACTATTCTCATAAAATTGCAATTAATATTTGATGCCATAGCTCTAGCTAATAATGTTTTTCCTGTTCCTGGTGGTCCATATAATAAAACCCCTTTTGGTGTTTTAATACCTACTCTTTTAAATAAATATGGATTTAATATTGGTAATTCTACAACCTCTCTCATTTGTCTAATTTGTTCACTTAATCCTCCTATTTGATTATAATTTACTTTATTTTTGCTATTTTCACTTTTATCTATATCACTTATCATATTAAATACCAAAGGGTCAACCTCACAAGGTAATCTTTTCATCACTGTTAATGTTGTCATATCTAAGGATACTCTAGTACCAATTACTAGTTTACTTTTATTTATTTTTGATTTGCATCCTACAACGTATCTAGGTCCGCTTGACGCTTTAACTATAAATTTTTCTTCTTCCAACTGTTTTAATATTTGACCTATTATTTGCCCAACACTTTGCAATGCTTTTAAATTATCTTCAGTTTTCTCATACTTTTTATTTAATTCTTTTATATCTATTCTTAACTTTTTTACTTTACTTTCTATTTCTCTATGCTCTATTACTTTTTTTACATATAATTTTATGCTCTCTTTATTATCCATCATATCTATATAATTAAAAAAAAGAAAAAAAAAAATGAAAAAATTTAATTTATAAAAATTACAAAATTTTTCATCAAAATATCAGGTTTTATATTCATTTTTTCGTATATCTGTTTATAAAAATCTATCATATTAATAATTTTATAAATGCATCTTTAATTAACTATGCAGAAATTTATATATTTATATATATAATTTTATTTTAACCTCATAATTACAATGTTTTTAATATTTTCAGTATTCTCTTTCACTTTCTGTATCTCTCTTTTTACATATAAATAAAATGGATATATTTATTATTTTATTTTATTTTATTTTATTTTTTTTTTTTGCTTGTTTTATCTTTATTTTTAAGTTATATTTGCTAAAATTTTTAAAATGGAAAAAAAAATAAAAGAAACAAAAAAATTAAATTAAATAATATGTTAAGTCCTCATGATACTTTTTTAAGGTAAAAAGGAATAATTTTTTTAAATTAAAAAAAAAAAAAATACTTTTATTAAATTAAAAGTATAATAAAATTTATTTAAAATGTACTTTTTTTTTTAAAGTTTCATTTATATAATTAATGTAATTAAAGTTTTTATTCTTTTTCATTGTTTTATTTCATTTTTAATAAAAATGTTAAATCCGATATATTTTTTTTTCAAATATCAAATGGAGTTACCTGTTTCATAAATGAAACTTCATTTTCATTTTTTTTTTTAATATATTTATGCAATTTTTCTGTTTTTAATAAAAATACTTTTTTTTTTTTTTTTTTTTTTTGTTATTTCTATATTAAAAAAAAAAAAAATAGAAAAACAGAAAAAAACTACTTGTAGGAAAAAAATTTAAAAAAACAATACTAAAACAATTAGTTAATTGTATCTTTTTATAATATATATCTATTTAAATAGGAATATTACTACCTTTCATACATTTATTAAAATGCATTTAAGTAAAATTCATAAAAATTAAAATAAATTAGACATTAAAAAAAAAAAAAAGAAAAATTATAGTAATTTGTAACATTAAATATCTACACAAAAAAAAACTTATCGAATTATTTAAAACCTTACATAGTAACTAAAGAACGATTTAATATATATATATGTTGTTTTTAAAATGAATTAAAATGAATTATTAGTAAAATAAAAAAACATACCTTATTGAGAAAAAAAAAATTTATTTGTCACTTATAAAAATATATGTGTATTAAAATACGTTTATGAAAAATCATAATTTCCACTTATTTCATTTTTTAATAAGATCAAAATTTAAATTGATATAATAAAATTTATTCAAAATACTTTCAGTTTTTATTTTATCATATTTTTTATTATTTTATTTTTTTTTTTTTACTTTAATATAATTAGCGAAAAAAATTCATTTTTCGAATAAAAATAAGTTAAAAACAAAAAATTTAATGTCTCTATTAACTTTAATAATTTCTTGTAGGAAAATTAAAAAAATATATATTTTTAAATCATTTAAATATAAGAAATAAAAAGGCTTTTTCGGTGGCTAGTCCCCCTTATTTTTAAATATTATAACTTATATGACACACAGTAGTTCTTTAACTTAAATTATGTGTGTACTTATAACCCTAGCAGAATCTTTTTTTTTTCTAGGAGATTAATCATTATTTTAAAGATATTATAAAATATTATTTTATATTTTTTCTTTTTCCTTTTTCCTTTTTCCTTTTCTTATTTATTAGAAAAATTTCAATTTCTATAAAAGGAAATTGTAGAAATGTAGATACAAATTATTTAAAATACATTATCTACATAGAGAAAATATTGTCCATTCTTTTTTTTTCTTTTTTTTTTTTTTATAGAAAGTCTATGTCTGTTTTTATTTTTTTTATTAATTCTATATACTCCTTATTGTTTTATTATTGATTAATGCTTATATAAATTATATAATAAAATTATTATTTCAACTAGTGAATAAATATAATTCAATACTTAATAATAAGAATTTAATAGTAATAAATTAAATGTAATATTTATATTAAAAAAAAAAAAAAAAAAAAAGTAATATAAATAATAAAATGTATACCATACTTTTAATATGTATCTAATTACATTTATATAGTTTTATATTTTACAATATTTTGAAGGAAAATAATATATTATATATACATATATATATATAGATAGACATTATAAAAATTTTTAGTAAAATGTATTTATATAAAATTAAAAAAATAAATAATATATTGTTAATTTCGTTATAAGAGAAAAATAGACTTAATTTAATTACTATATATAGATTATTTTTATTCATTAAAAATGTTTATACATGAGAATTTTTTTTTTTTTCAACATTACTAAATGCTTGAGGAAACATGAAATTAAACGTTACTATTTTTTCTTATTAAGAATGTTCTAACTTTATAATTTAAATTTTAAAATGATAGAAAAATTTTTAAATATATTAATTTTTTACAGTATAATAATAAATATATTCCTTTGCTTTGGAAATGAAGTAGTTTATCAAAATGATGTAAATGAAAAAATAAATTTACTTAATTCTTTTAAAATAGACATAAAAAATAAAAATGAATGCTCGTTAAAATATTATGAACTAAAGACTTATTTTAGATATGTTTATGTAGTTGAGTGTATTTTAAATGCAAAAAATGTAAAATTACATTTTATTAACTTACCAAATAATAAGGAAACTCATATAACTTTTTATAAGGGCAATAAAGAAATAACTAATGATAATGTAATGTTAAAATTCAAAAATAATACAAAAGTAAATTATAAAATATGCCACTTATCCAAAGCTCAAAAATGCTTCTATATTTCAATCATTATTATATTTAAATTCGAAGTGAATGGGTTAAGAGAATTATTTGTAAATAGTTTTTACATAGATAAAAATGGCAATTTTAATAATATAGATCTATTACATCCTAATAATATGAAAATAAGAGATAAAAAGAAATTTTCCTATTTTTTTTTTGATAACAAAATGATAAAAAAGTTCTATGAAATTAACATTAATGTTGAAAAAAACAAACCATTATATTTATATGCATCATCCTTTCTATATAATTTTGTTTACATTGATAGAAACTTAAATAACATATTAAAAGGTGAAAATTATTCATACGAAACTTATTTTTACAAATTTACTTGTTCTAACAATTCCGAGATATTTGCAGGCACAAGCGATTTTAATAAAAATGAATTTTTCATTTATAAATTAACAATTCTTTGCTATAACAATGATGCAGATAATTTGAATAATCTCTATGATATAAATGCTATAGAATATTTTAGTGACTTAAATAAAGGAATATATGATTCTATTAATAGAAACTTTATTACACCATCATTTCATATAAAAACATATAAATACAGTATTTTTACATATGATGATAAATTTTGGCTACGAATTAGAATTCATAATAAAATTTATAAAAATATCACTATTAATAATAAAAAGGTAATATCTGAATATAACTTAATAACGTTAAATGATGATATAGATGACTTATTTTATGATGACTGTATAAAGAAATGGAATATAATAAATTCACATAAGTGTGTATATAATGATGAGGAAAAAGAAAAAGTATATAATAAAAGAGATTATATGATTTTTGGTAATATTTATGAAGAAGATATAAAATATTATGAAAATAAAAATACATTTATTCCACAAAACAAAATAAATTATAATGGAAATTTCTCATTGCTAAAACTTTTGTCATCAAAAAAAAAAAGAAAAATACATAATTATGAGGAAATAAATAAAATTATATTTAAAATTAAAAATATATTTATATTAAAATATATGTATGAAGTAAATAATGATGAAAATAGTAATAATAAATTAAATGTTGTAAATTATTTTTTCTATATACATAAAATACCAAAAAATATTATAGCTAATAGTTTTTCATTTATTGCATTTTTAATAAACGCTAATTGTACAGAAAAAAATATTTGCTATTTAGAAGCCAACAAAAGGTCTTATATTGAAGTAATATTTAAAAAAAAAAGGAATGATTTCCATTATTCAGACGCAAACTTTTTATTACCAAAAAATCCTAGCATTTATGATATAGATAAATACAGTTCCGTTAATTTATATATAAATAATAATAAAATTTCTAAAAATACTAAATATACAATAAATGAAATAGGTAAATCAAAAGAAAAGATAAACATAAAAATTATAAATAATGACAAAAAAATATTGAATGAGGTAGATTTAATCATTATAAGAAAAAACGCATTTTTTAAATTGTTCTTAAAGATTTTTTCATATTTGTCATATTCATATATTTTATTATCATTCTTACAACCTTCCAGGATTTTAAATTCTATTAAATATATACAAATTTTAACTTTTCTAAATTTAAAGTATTCCTTTCCGTCACTATTTAATTATTTTATTAAAAGATTCGAAATACTTTCTTTCATTACTTATACAGATAATGTTAAAATATATAGAAAAAATACTCAAATAGTGAATATATCAAAAATCCTAGATAAAGAAGAAACAAAAAAGAATAATATTGCAAATGAATATAAAATTAATAATAATTCTAATATAAATAATATTAACCATATTGTAAATAGTAATGTGAATGATATTAATAATTACAGTAATTTAAACAACACTAATAATAATAATAAAGATAATTATAACAATAATAATGAAGAAAATAGTAATAATTATAATAATGATAATAAAATTATAAATAGTATTAACAATGATAAATATAATTACAAAAGTAGTATTATTAATTATTACAAGAAGAAAAATTTAGTTAATGAAGATAAGGAAAATAAGGAAAAATCTATTAATGATAATAATTTATATAAAAAAAAGAAATACTTTAAAAATGGTGTTAGAAATTCTAAATGGAATAGTAGCTCAAAAAATGATATGGTACTTTTTAATATATACATTAGCACACTTTTAAATATTATCAGTATCCTATGTTTTCTACTAATATTTTATTTTATAATTACTAAATTTATATATATAAAATATAAATCAAAAATACATATCTCTTTTTTATCTCCTTATAATTTTTTTTTATTTGTATTTGATTTATTTTTATTTCCTGTTATATTTTCAACATCCAATATAATACTTCTGGATAGAATTTATAAAGTAAAAATTTATTTTATATATATTGACTTTTTTGTTATTAAATTTATTTGCATATTTATACTTTTTTGTTACACCTTTTCTTATATTGCTACTTCTTTTCTTTTCGTTTTATCTATTAAAAATAATATTATTTATGATTATAAGTTAGAAAAGTTCATTCCAGTATCTATTTATAAAATAAATGGGATCATAAAGTATTTTCCTTTTCAATTTTTTTTAAAAAATGTTTGTAATATATTTTTATCATCAAATCAATTACTTGTTAAAAATCAAAAAGAAAAACACATTTTTAATTATAGTATTATAAATGTGCATAAGATAAAAAGGGATTTTTTTCTTCCTTGTTTCCATTATGTCGATTTAAATAAGTTAAAAAAAGAACTTTTACAAAGTAATTTATCTTTAAAAAGATTTTTCAAAAGTAGTATTAAAAAAAATAACCAAAAAAAATACAATAAAATAGTAGATCAAATTTTATTAGAAGACATGGATTATTTGAATTATAACAGAAAAAATGAAAAGGATTTCATAAATGAAAGTTGTAGTCGAAAATATTTATTAGATGAAATAAATGATTCACAAAATATACTTCCTTCAAGTAATATTTTATATCAGGATGAATGTTATAATAATATAATTAAAATTTTTAAAAAGATATTTCACATAGTAGAAGAATATTTTGATAAAAACGAAAATGAAAGTGCAGATTTTGATAGCATGGATAGTTTACCTGACAAGGAATGTGAAAATAATATTATTAAAATAAAAAATAATGAAAGTGCAGACTTTGATAGCATGGATAGTTTACCTAACAAGGAATGTGAAAATAATGCTATTAAAATAAAAAATAATGAAAGTTCTTACACACAATATAATACAAGTGATGTTAAACATAAAATGTTAAATGAAAATGTAAAAGTTGAAAATGATTATACTAATGAAACAGGTGATTCTGACAAAGCAAAATATAAGAGTAATGAGGTAAAATTTCATTATTATAAAAAAAAAAATAATAATTATAAAAAAAAATGTGAGTATGACAATATAATAAAGAGTGATGTAAAAAAAAATAAACATTTCAAAATTACTATTGATAGAAATTTTTTAAAAAATAATACCAACACCAAAAATAATTTGTATTTTTTAAATACTTTTAAAAATATAAAAATTGGATATATGTATGATAAAATATTACTATTTAAAAAGAAGTTATATATAAAAAAAGTAATAGAATTAAAGCATTTATATATATTACTATCTCAAAAAAAGAGTATAGAATTATTTGTTAATATTGAACAAACTTATAATGATACAATGAATGATTACTCCTTTCTTATTAATAACTGTTTTAGTGATGTTTTTTCTTTTGTTTTTTTGAGATCAATAATTGTTGTAGGTATTATTTATATAAATCTCTTTGTTCCTATAAATATATACGCTATATTTCTTTTCTTGTCTTTTTTTTTCTTAGCTATATTTTTATATAATTTACGTTATAGTTTTATTAAAGGTAATATGAAATTTTTTAAAAAACAACTTAAAAATATTTTATATGATGATAGTAAAAATGATAATGATATGATGAAACAAGAAAATCAAAATTTTAATTGGTACTTTATCAATGAGAAACAAAATAAATATAAAAAAAATAATGAAGAAGGTAATAATTCATCTGGTAATTATGACAAAACAAAATATGATAAGGAAGAATATAATAGAGAAACATATGACCAATATCTTGAAAGAGAAGAATGTGATAAAGAAGAATATAATAATGAAAGTTATATTAGAAATAGTTATTTTAATTTAAACAAAAGAAAAATATTTAATTATAAAAAAAATAATTTTACTAGTTTGATAGGATTTTGTGAGTATATCAAAAATTATTGGATAAGAAACATTAGAATATATTTCATTTTAAAGAACTTAAAAGAAAGAAAAAATAATTCTGAATTAATTATAAGTATAATTTTTTTTTTTTTATTCATTTCTTATATTTTTAATGATAATGATAAAGAAGATTCGATTTTGTTTAGTTTAGTGTTGACCTTTTTAACAATCTCATTATATATAGATTTCTCTGTTTTAAATAATATCTTAGAAGCAATATTAGTATATATAAAAAATGATATATTAATAAAAGCTAACATAATTTATTTAAAAACATATCTATTATTTACTTTGTATAAATTTCAGAATATACTTACTTGTATAATTATTTCTCTATTCAAACAAAAAAATACAGAAAAAAATATATCAACTATAAGAAAAATGTCTACAGTTGATTCAAACTTTTATGAAAATACAAAAAATTATGAAATAAAACCTAATTTTAATAAAATATCTGTTAAAAACTTAAAAGTAAATAAAATTGAAATATATCAAAATGAAAGAGATATGAATTATAAAAATAAAATATTGAAAATAGATTCTAATAATAATTATATTTTCGGACTTAATTTATACAAAAATTTATATTTTTATGGAACTTTAGATTTTATTGAACCTATTAAAAAACTGTCAACTATTCCTATATATCTCAATAATAAAATGAAAAAAAATAGAAATTATTATATTTGTACTATTGAAATTACGAAAGAGAAAGATCCTAGTATTAATAAAGCTATATCACTATTTTTAAAAAAAAAAAAGAAAAAAAAATTTATACTTTATTATAACAAAAGTTATGACATTTTTACATCTGAAACAGTATATCAAAAAGAAGATAACAGCAATTACAGTTTAACTAAAAAGAAATCAAACTATAATGACATTTTAAGAGAAAATATCGGAGATAAAAACCTGAACATTAGTGAAAATATTATAAAAAAAAATAATAATCATGAAGATTCAAATGATATTAATTTATATTATAATGATAAAGAATCTAAAAATATAAAAATAGATAAATATTCTTATACAATCATAAATGAAAATAGCTTAATTATCTATAGCTTATTTATTAAGCCAAATAAAATATATAAGATACAACTAGTATTTAAAAATAAGTATTTTAAAAATATTAATTTAAGTGATAATGAGTATAATTATAAGATGTATGATAACAAAGATGAGAACATGAGTGATTATGATTGTGATAATAAAAATTATAAAAATTACAACAATATAAATACATATATTGATGGAAACGAAGATAAAAGTGAATATGATAATGATGGAAAAGATGAAAGTAAAAGTAACGATAAAGATTACCATAAACTCATTTATAATAAAAAAATTTATTGTAAGAAAAAAAATGATTTTAGTATTTTTCCTATATTGTGTGAAGAAATAGGAATTTTAATTGTCTCTTATAATTTAGATAATATAGACACGTTCGATGAAATAAAGGTTGAGAATAAATTTAAAGAAACTTTTTATTTAAATATCCATTTAAATCATATATCTTTCCTAAAAAAAAAAAAAATTATTATATTGCGACATAAAAATTTTTATAAAAATGAATTATATTACGTTTACTTAAAAAAAAACAAAAAATTTCTTTCTGACTATGTTACTAGAGAAATTGAAATTAAAAGTAAAGAAAAAGGAAAAATTATTCTTAATATAAATAATAAAAAGGATAGCTTTAAAATTAGGAAGAATGAAGATGAAGATGAAGATGAAGATGAAGGTGAAGATGAAGAGGAATATGATGAAAATGGACAAAATAATGTAGGTATAGAACATTATAATGATAATAAAAAAATAATTTTTGATGACAATGTTAATATTTATAAAATATGTAGTAAAAATAAAAAAAAGTGTATATTTGTTAAAGTTCATAAAAAAGACAGCATTTTTTTTGTACGACATTCTAATGTAAATTACGAAAAAAAATGTAATTTCTTTTCTATTAAAAATTTTTTCTATAATAAAAAGAAAAATAAAAATGAGGAAAAGGAATTTAATGATACTTATGATGAAATTAATCATAACAGTTTTATTCCTATTCAATTATTATATAAGTTAAAGTCAAAACATGATATTACAATAATAAAAAATTTACAGAAATTCTTTTTCAACTGTTTAGATAATGGTGATATAAAAGATGAAAGTTTATATAAGGAAAGAGAAAAGGTAAGGTATCAAAAAGAATCTATTTTAAGGAGTAAAAAAAAGTGGGGTCTTAAATGTTTCAACTATCAATTGTTAAGTTCATCAGATACTTCTATATACAATACAAATAATCAGAAAAAACAGAAAAATAAAATAAAAGACAAATATCATATAAAAAATAATAAATACCTTAATATAATTAATAAATTGGAAAACCCGTTTTATTCAAAGAAAACAAAAGTAAGTGATTTTTATAATATATCTAATAAAAAAATAAAAGTAATTTCTAGGCTAAAATTATTATTTAAAAGTATTTATTATAATTTTGATTATTTTTATAAGAAAAAAAGAAAATCTTATAATAAAGAAAAACAAGAAGTTTTTTATAGATACGTTGCTGATTATAAGCATATAATAAAAATATACTCAACTAATATTGAAATATATGAAAATAAGTATAATTTTTTAATAAATAACAAGGGAAACATTAAAGTTTTATCTAGCCTTTTATTGGAAATTCTTAATTTTACATATATACTAAATATATTTCAGAAATATATAATAAATGACAAAGAAGGAAATGTGATTAATTATAATATTAATAATTTAAATTTTAATATTTATGAAATTTATAAACAATGTTCATCAAATAAAAAACCTATAATAACTAAAATAGTCACATATTTAGAAGAACTAGCTTCTTATAAATTGATATACATAGTGAGTTACTACAAAGAAAAATTAAATTACTTTCTCATGCTTAACGAAATTAATAATGATGACAAAATTTCTGAAATACAAAGAGAAATTGATTATTTATTTTATAATAAATTTCATTTTTTAAAAAAAGAAATTAAAAAGTTAAAAAGAAATATACAAAACAACGAAACCAAAAAGAATGTTCCTAATATTTATTCAAAATCATTTTATAACATAATTTTTGAAAAATATTTAATACAAAAAAAATTATTTAGAAAAAAAATATATAATATAAAAAAAAGTATATATGAAATAAGAAAGAAATATAAAGGAATAAAAAATGATATATATTTCCCATTTTTCATAAACAAAAAATTTATAATAAAAACAAAAAGTGTAGATCAACAATTATATAATTGGAATACTTGTCTTACTAATTTTTTTAATAATTTTCTAAATAATTCATTAACAAATTCTAATGTAGGTTATAACATCAACATTTTGAATAAAAATATTTTAAATAATATCAAAGAATCATTATTTGAACGAAAAAAAAATACATCCCCTGAAAATTTTAATTTTGTTCATATTGTTATTTCAATTAATTTTCTCAACCCACAAAACGATTTTTTAATATCTCCTACTTTCTTTTATATGAACTTTTTATCGTCAAAACCCATTTTTTTCCTTAGTAATGATCAGAAAAATGAAATACTTTTAGATAATAATAAAAAATTTAAGGAAAAACAAAAAATAAGAAAAAAGAAGAAATATGATGAAATGAACGAATTACATAATAATACAAATACAATAAGTAATGACACTATTTCTTCTATTATACATTCTTCTTCTGAAAAAGAAGGATCTACTTATTATAAATTATTACCTTGTTATATAGAAATTATAAATCATAATTTATTTATTTATTTTTTTGATAATTACAATAATAAAATATGCTGGATGGTAGAAAAAGGAAATTACTATTTAAAAATACAAGATACAAACATAATAAACACTGAAGATATAAATAAAAACGTAGTAAAAACTAAAAGTATTATAAATGAAGATTATCAATCATTTTATAATGAGAAAAATGAAAATTTATATAATGTTAGTAGAACAGAAGAAAATGATGTTTCTGTTTTTTGTTCTTTAAAAAAATTTACTGAAATGTATAAAAAGAAAAATAAATCTTTACAACACTATTATTTATTGGAACAAAAAGAAGTAAATAAAAATTATATAAAAAAAAGAAGCAATTTTATCTTAAAATTATTTCACATATTTTCTAATTACATATCTAACATAAAAGACAATGTTAAAAAAGCATTATACTTTTTCTTTATATATGAAGAGAATAAAATGTTTGATAAGTCACAATATATTAAATTATTGATAAAAATTAATCCTATTATTTTATCCACTTCAAGGAGTAGATTAATTATAAATGATAATATATATACTAAATTAACAGAAAAAGATAAATTTTTAATTAATCAAAGGATGAAAGAAGTTTCTTTAAATCCTTTTCAAATACTTGATGACAGTGAAAAAATTACAGAAGAAGATTATAACTTCATTTCTCAAAATAGATATTTTAGTCAAATAGAAACGTTTAAAAATATTAATAAAAATAAAAATTATGTTAAAAGCATAAATAATTTTTCTAAAGAGAAATATGAAGGGTTAAATGATAATATCGATTTTAATACAACTTATGAAAAAACTAATGAATTAAATAGCGTAATATTTCATGAACTAAATATATTTACTTATAGTTTTTATAGAAAAAAAATAGAAGAATTAATAGAGAATTATAAAAATTATACAGAATTAGAAGAAACTATAAATATTTATGAAAATTTAGATTCACTTAAAAATAATTTATATGAAAATGAAAGTAGGAAAAGTGATGAAAAAGAAAAAGAAGAAAGACAGAATAAAAAGGAGAAGGATGTGTCGTCTATTGACAAAGTAGAAAAATGTGATATGGAAAAATTGAGTGAAGGAAGTAATAAAAAAAATGATTCAAGAAAAGATTATGTTGATGAAAAAGAGGATAAAAAAAAGTTTGGAAATTTATTAAAAAGCATTGAAAGGATGAGAACATTAAATTTTCTTAAAAAAAAAAGTATAGAAGATGAGATAAGAACTATATATAAAGAATTAATATTTTATGATAAGAATAAAGAAATGTTTTGTAAATATGTAGGTGATATTAAAAATATGTTATACGATGGAAAAGGAAAATTATATGATAAATTTAACAGTTTAATATATGATGGGGATTGGGTAAATGGAGAAAAAAATGGAAAGGGAAAATTGCTATTTAAATATTTTAATATATGGTATTTATATGAAGGAGAATTTTTTAATGACGAGATAGTTGATAAAGGAATAATATCTTTAATTGATAAAGAATATGTAAAAAAATTACATTTAAATAAAATTAATAAATTATGTCCTTTATTAATTAAAGCTAATTTTTGTAAAGAAAAGAACCACAAAGAAAATAATAGAAAAAAAATTTTTAATGAAGATATAATGAAACAAATAGAAAATACTATAATGTCCAAATATAGTTCAACTAATAATGTGGATTTTTGGTCAAAAGATGTTATTGATATTTATATTCCTTATATTAAAAAATGGAATATTTATTCATTTTATTGTTCAAGTAATATAGAAAATATAAAAAAGAAAAAAGAAATTTTTGAATCTAATGAAAATAATTTTAAAAATTTAATTGGATATCCATCATTTGAACTTAGAAACGGAGATAATACTAATGTAGTTATGCATAATCTTACAAATAATAATAATCTTAGAAATAATAATAATGATAATAATAATCTTAGAAATAATAATAATGATAATAATAATAATCTTACAAATAATCTTACAAATAATCTTACAAATAATAATAATAATCTTATAAATAATAATAATGATAAGAATACACCTATTACTTCAAATAATCCAAATATAAACAAACTTCAAGATCAAGATAGCAAAGAAAGGGTTAACGAAAAAAAAAGTAGTATTTTATTTAAGAATAATAATTTTAATTTACCAAATATCTATATAAACAAAGATTCATCAGATGAAAATTTAAAAGAAGATATTATATACAAATATGATGAAACAAATATTTTGCATGAACATTTCTTTAATTATATGAAAACAAAAAATGATGAAAAATTATATTATCCATTAATAAGTAAAAATGTAGGGTTAGCGAAAATAATTTATGCTGATAAAAGTGAATATTTTGGTGCAATAAATAATAGAGGACAACCTAGTACCAATGAAGAATATCCGAAGGCTTTTTTTAATAATGAAAAATTTTTTTATGAAGGAGAAATGAAAAAATTTCTTCCTCATGGTTATGGTATGTTTAAAAATAAAGATGATAATAAAAATGCTTATTTAGGATATTGGAGAAATGGATATAGAGAAGGAAAAGGAAGTTTAAATTTAAAGAATAAAAAAATTATTATTCATGGGAATTTCTTAAAGGATAAATTACATGATAATATCAATATTTATATTAAAGATGAAAAAATATCAAAGTTATATCTTTCAACTATTAATACAGACTCACAAAAAATGAAAATATATTTTAGAAACGGATATATCTTTTATGGATATTTTTCAAAGAATTATCAAAGAAATGGAATAGGAATATTAATTGATAATAATAATAAAATTTTATATCATGGTTATTATAAAAATGATGTAATAGATAAATTTTGCTATATATTACGTCATAAAGATAATAAAATTTATTGCGGTAATTTGCATCATGGCTTTAAAAAAGGATTTGGTAAATTATATTTCGAAGAAAAGTTAAAATTCAATCATGAAAATGAATTTAATTTAAGTTTATCTAATGCCCAAATATTAGCCAGAAAATTAGAAGCATACGATGGAATAGATATTAATTCAGATATATCTTTAAATATTTCTTTTGATTCAACACATATTATATATATAGGTTATTGGGATAATAACACTTTTTCTCATTTTGGTTCATGCAATTTAAAAGATGGATTTTATAAAGGTGATATAAAAGATGCTAAAAAAGATGGATTTGGGATATATATATATAAAAAAAACAAATCTTATAAAAATAAAAATAGATATGTTTTATCTTATTTTAAGAATGATCGAATATTTAATATGGGAAAATACTACAGTGAATATGATAAGCTTAGAGTATATTCTTTTGAAAAGGAACAAATTAAGGAAAAATTATCTACTTCCGATAAATGCTTTAAAAAAGAGAATTTACAAAATGATATTATAACAACAGAAAAATTATACATAAATGATGAACTTGATACATATATTACTATGCCCTTAAGTGATTTACTAAGTAATATTATGAATGATGTTTTCGATACTTCCACAAGTTTCATAAATTATTTGAATCAACCCTTTCATTTTGATTTAAATTATTTCTTAAAAAAATAATTTTTTTTTCTTTTAATTTCCTTACATCTTTTTCATAAGTTTCCATTTTTCATTATAATACAGTATATTATTATATTTATAATAATTATTATATTTTTATTATATTTTTTTGTAAATAAATAATATCTATAAATTTGAAGAATTCATATTATTTATTTTTTTTTTAACTATTATAAATATACTATTTTTTTTTTTTTTTTTTTATTCACTTTAATTTTTATTTTTGTTGTTCTATTTTAATTAGACATTTGCATATAATATAAATGAATTTTAATTATGACTTATTTTAAATAATATATGCACTAAATATAAAGCTTTTAAAATTTATATATTGTANNNNANAAAAAAAAAAAAAAAAAAANNAAGTAAAAATAAAAAAAATAACATATAACAAAATAAAATGAAGTTTTCAATTGATTTTTTTTTTATTACATATTTATCCTTTTTGTTATATTCAAAGACCCTTTTTATTTTATATTTAAATCAACTGTATCTAAAAAATTCAATTTAAAACATAACATTTAAAAAATACTTAAAAAAAAATTTTAAAGATTTCATTTTTATTCTTCAATGATATTTGGTTTACTTTTTTTTAATTTATTAATTTTACAATTTGCATTACTGTATTACACTTTATTTTGTATATACATATTTTTTTTTTTTTTAAAACATTTTATATTGTATTTGATATGCTTTGCCAATTGTTTAACATAATTTTTTGTGCACATAAAAGGGCTTCTCTAACAATATCTCTATCTTTTGTTGTAATTAAAATCATTATATTTTCTTTAATTCGAAATTTCTGACAAATTTTTTTCCCATTTGGATATAATCTAGCGAACTCTCCAATATCAAAACAAGCAACAGCAACAGTAACACCATCTATTTCATTTTTATTATTAGGTGATTCATTTTTTAGAACAATATTATGGGCATAATTTTTTATTATATCAGCTAATTGTTGTATAGCTTTGAATTCATCTTTTTCAAATTGCATTACATTTTCTAACCAAAACTTTTCTGTATGTAAAATAGACCATTTTAACTTTCCATTTGAAAGCTCATGACAATATCTTTCAAAATTACTAATAAGAAATATAATAAGATAAATAAATATTATATTATATATACAAATATGAACATACATCTTATATATATTTTTATATTTTGTATTATATTTGTTCATATATATTAAAATTTTTTATATGAGTAAATTATATATATATATATATATTTAGTTAGAAATAATTATTACCTGAAATTCTTAACACGTTGATCTAATTTATGTAAAAGTTGAACTATAGTATCATATATATCATTATCTCTCCATTTGTCATATTGTAGAACAGTTAATGTTTGAATTACATTGTTATCAACTATTATTTCAAAACAGTCATCAATATGCATTATATTTTTAATTATATTTAAGCAAACTCTTACTATTTTTTCTACTCTACATTTTTTAAATAAATTAATTACAACTGTTATAATATTATTTCTATGTAATTTTTTAATAAAACAATCTTTAAATGTAAGTAACCATACACAGAAGACTGATTTATATTGCTTATTTGCATTATTATTTGCTAAATCTAAATTTTTTTTAATTATTGATAAAAACTGTTCTAATTCATAAATATCTTTTCTATAATTATCAATTTTTAAAATATTTATATAAATATCCATTTTTCCTTCTTCAGTTATATTAAAAAAATCAATTTTTAAAATAAAATCTTTTATTTCAGTTTCAGTAAAATAACTATTATTATAGCAAAAACTACCTGATAATAAGAAAGAACTTTTATCTGCTATATAAGTATCATTATGTGTACATAATTTCATTAAATACGCATATACATTTTTATTATTTAATATATTTAATATGTAACAATAGGAACTTCCATCATTTCTAATAATTTCATAAAAAATAGTTAGTACATATTGAATTAAATGGATATTAAAATCTGTTTGGAGACAATTAAATAATACTGTTACTATTGTAGCATTTTCTTTAAAATATTCAAATTTTTTCTTTTTTTCAAATTCATGAAATTTTTTTAATAATTCTACTTCTTCTGATGATAAAATATTTATCTCCTCGTATTTATCATAACATGGCATTTTATTTAAAATAGAATCATGCAATTTCTAAAATGGATTTGAAAAAAAAAAAAATTAAAGAAATATATATATATATATATATATATAAATGTATATATATATGTATATAAATTATTAATTTAAAATGAAAATTATGCTATTTTTTTTATTTTTTTTATTTATCTGTATATTTTCATTTTATATTAACATAACTACTTATTATATAATATTTATTTATATAGTATAAAAGTATTACTTGATTCTTCTGTTCAGATTCAACAATTTTAGTAATGACACTTATTCCACTATTATTAACCATTTTTTTTATTTCTTACTAAAAAAAAAAAAAAGAAACAAATTACAATAATATATTCTAAATTCAGATAATTTTATATATAAAAAAGAAGTTTAAAAAAATAAAAAAAAAAAAAATTACATGAAATAAATAGAGCATCGCGATTAATAAAAATAAACAATTTCTTTTTTTAAATTAAAATTTATTTTATTGCGTCATAAAACAAATATATATTATATATATATATATATATATATATTTATATATAATAATAATAATATAAACAAATAATGAAAATTAAATTTGTTTGAACTTAACAAATATATGACATAAATATTCTCTAATAAACACCAATTTTTTATTAAAATATTTTTAATATTTTTACACAATAATATATTAAACATATGTGTGTACAATTAAAAGTGGAAAAAAATCTTTTTTGTCTGAAATAACGCATATTAGTCCTTGCATAAAAAAAAAAAAAAAAAAAAATTTAACCAAATAAATATACATAAGAAATAAATATGTAATTATTTGTACAATTCACATTTAAAAAAAAAAAAAAAAAAAAAAAAAAAAAAGATAATAAGAAATATCCACAATGAATTATTTCTACAAATATATTTATAACAATAGAAAACATTTCTTATTATGTAAATCTGTTTTCTTAATCATTCGCTAGTTATATTTTTAATGTTTTTTTCTTTTTAAAGCATACTTAGAAAAAAAAAATAAAAAAATAAATTTTATAGATTGTATTTAATATAATTTCAAATGAATTTTATTATCTTATTTTTTTTAATTTCTAAGTATGCTTTAGTTAATACAAAAAATAAAGAGACATATTAAGTTGGATGAAAAAGTTTTAAAGAAAAAATGCTTTTATATAAATTTTAAAAAAATGTGTTCAAGGATATTAAAAAAATAAAATAAAATAAAATAAAATAAAAATTCCTAATTTTTTTTTTTTATAAAAAATGCCTTTTTTTTAATTTGAAAATAAAAAAAATATATATATATATATATATGTAAATCAAAAGTTAAACAAATTATAAAATTTAAAGAATTTATTTAAAAATGTTAAAAATACCTAAGTAACATATGGAAATAAAATATTGTATGATATTTTATTTTGTTAACGCATCCATACATAATTTACATTGTTTTTATTTTTTTCATTAATCACAACTTGTATAAAATACCTATAATTAAAAAAAGAAAATATATAAAAAATAATAAATAAAAAAAAAAAAAAAAAAATTTTAATTATTTTTTTTCATTACTTATAGTGGGATGGCGCTTGTAAAATGAAGAACCTATTTTTCTTTTTATATGCTTGTATAGATCTTAGATAAAAAAAAAAAAGAATAAAATAAAATTATAATTACTGAATCTAATAATTGAAAATATAAAATGAATTCAAATAAAAACTAAAAATACTTGATAACTCTTCCCATGAATTGTGTTTCATTTAATTTAAGTAGGCTAAGAACGTCCTTTAGTATTTATAAATATAAAAAGTACAAAAAAAAAAAAAAAAAAAAAATAATGAAATATATTTTAACAAACAAAAAAAAAAA